TTTAAGCAAATGCCTGTCTTAGAGCACACTAATAGTCCCATTGACGAGAATGTGACTATTCATCTGCTTGGACATTTGCTACTACCATACTGCACTCCAGGAAAAGTACAATTAAATTTTCAAACTAAGATTAGTCTGGCCAATAAACTGGTTGTCACCGCTAGTATGAAAATAAGGATTTTGAATACATGCTTTTTGCTTCTCAAGTAACGAAAGGTATTGCCAAGTACATGACTAAAAGAACAATGAGTATTCAAATTACAGGGAAGATAGTTTAAACTGTTCTTTAAATCAAGAAGTAAAGGCAGTATTTAAACAAACTACTTACCAAGAAAAATAAAAAAACAGATATAAAAGCCAAATCATTCCTGATAAATTCAGCATGAATCTATAAGATACTGGCTTTGTCTACTGTGCAAGTTCTGTAACTTATCTCCTTGATCTTCAGTGTATTTCAAGTGACCACACTTTACCAGGAGGGAACAAAGACAGTATCACATGGGACAACATCAGAAAAGGGGGATCTGAGGTTAGCTTCCCCTCCCTGATGCAAATACAAACTTTGGAATTAAGGGCTAGTATTCACAGGAGTTAGTTATACAAGCAAATATTAATTAAACTAAGTAAAGGCGATAAAATCTTGTTTTCAGACTTGGAATTACTAATCCTATAAAAGTCCACAAAACTTTTTCTCAGTAATGTAGTGATTCAAGAAAGAGGTCATATTTTTAAAAACTTGGAGACTCCCGATTAGTATGTGTTCCTTCATACTAGGTCAACTGACCAAGCAGAAAAGTGTAGTAAGGGTGTTAGATATTAATGAACTTTTACTGAGCATATAGGACAAAGCATAAATCATACTCTAGCTCTGTAGCAGTGTTTCTGTTTATATCACGTCTGTCACTCTTAATTCATTTTTTCATGAGCGCTGTATTTGCTGAATTACAAATAAGAAGTTCTGGGAGCACTGGAACTTACAAAGAGCGCTGGATCCTACACACTAGTACCTCAGGGCTACTATCTGCGGTTGCAATAGGTCCCCACTGTGACCAAGACCTTGCAGTGTGGGCACTTAGAGACTGTTGCCCTCCCTCCTATCCCAGCATTCACATGCTCTCCTTCTTGTACCTGGCCACCTATTTTCAAAAAGCTGGTAGAGAAAATAACGTTGAGGCCTCTGCCTCTCTGCACAGATGAGCCGGCCAATGAATTACTGGGTAGAGAGGACACCAAAGGCACACACGTAGGCATACCCATATTATGATAGCTTTGTTTCCATAGGAATCAGCCTACAAATCTTTTTACCTTCTTTCTCCTGCCTTTGTTCACTTTTTATGAGCTACTTCTAGTGATATAATAGGCAATATGGCTGAATTCTTCTCTATTACGCAGGGTAAAACAAGACTCACATCACTGACAACAAAGCAAAAAGGAGGAGAATTTGGGCCAGCCCCAAATGTAAAGAGAGGCCCCGCACTAAAAAGAAATAAGAAGTAATAGATGGAAGAGGTTAGGAACCTCCTTTATTGCTGACCATTAGGCAAACACCTGTCAGGAAGCCACGTGGACCTGAAAAACCTCCTGAGCTCTGTTTTGTGTGCTAGCTTGTATACGAACTTATTTTTGCTTTTTATTTCCTCTTTTGCTTCAGGTACTTACGATGGCTCCATAGACAGTTGCAAAGGTGATTCAGGAGGACCCTTGGTCTGTTTTGATGCAGAAAACGTGGCGTATGTCTGGGGTATTGTGAGTTGGGGTGAGAACTGCGGGGAGGCTGGTCACCCTGGCGTGTATACAAAAGTCGCCAGCTATTACGATTGGATTAGCCATCATGTGACAAGGAGTCTCATTTCACGGTATAATATCTGAAGCTCAGTTAATTAAATACGTCCTTCTTACCACCCATGCAAAAATGAACACTGGTCCTTTGTTTACAATCAGCAGCCATGTAACTTAGCAACAATTAGTACAAATCTTTAAAGATCGCATTTTGAAAATTTTTAACACTCTATAAATACCACAATTTTGCAGAAGCCTGTGGGAAGAGAATTTTACAGTCACATGAGTCCACAGAAAAAGTCTCTAACAAAAGGAGGGAAATTAAAATGTCTTTGTCTTGTCATTACTTTGTTTTTCCCCACATTTCACATTGCATTTCAATTGCGGTTGCTTGTTTATTTAAAATGGACAACCACACTGAAAGCAGTGGTCGAAAAATGACTGCACTGGCAATACGTGAACTTCACAGAAACACAGTTTCAAGAACTTCCATCATCTGAAGGCCTAGGTCACTTGAAACCCACAGGATGCTGCCTTGCTCGGCAGTTGATTCTTTAGGCTTACTACGAAAGTAGACCTCAGACCGTCTATTACTTGTCAGACTGACTACGACCATAAGAGTAGTTGTAGTGCAAAAATTAGCCAAATAACAACTCTGTTTGGTGGTAGTTTTTCCCAGCTACAAACTCAGACAATTTTTAGCTAGTTAATATACCTCACCTGATCATCTAGCTTGGGCAAATTTGTGTAGCTCTAAGTTTTATTAATTTAACCGCAGCTGGTCACAAACAACACAGGAATTTTAAAACTTGGATCTTCAACTTAAATAAAAAGCATCTTTACTATCTTAAGTTCCCTGTGTATGTATATATATATATTTCTGGTCTCCAACAAACTCTTAACACCAAGCAGTGTTTTACCATGTGTGTATGTATACATATGTATATACACATATACGCACAACTTATATAACAATATAAATGTATAAAAGGTCTATACATTATACATATAGACTTAATTCTACAAAACCAAGTTACAGAGATAAAGTTAAAAATTAATAGTCTCAGTCATACCCCCTCCCCCTCCCCGATTCTCTAATTAGCGCAAGCTTCCTACACCCAGCTAGAGAAGCATGAAGCAGTAATGCCAAGACAGAACATCCAGGGCCTGATCCTGCAATGTGCAGCCCGGGCGAGTTTTGCTACTGCCTTAACTGACCCAGAACTGGATGAAGACAAGGGGCCATCAACAAAACTGGAACAATTAAGCAGAAAATCCTTCTGCTTTCACCAGTCCTTGTAAGGACGTTCTGCCCGCTTGGTAATCAGGAAGCACAGCCCAAAGGGCCACTGTGTAAGCGACACATTTTTAGACAGCAGTAATGGTGCCTTCTACAAGAAAACGAGTCTATACATAACAGTCTCACATTCAGCAAGAGTTACGCACAGAAAGTGTGCACAAAATTTTTTAAAAGTACAAGAATTTGGTTTCTTGATTGGTACCCTCGACACAAAACTGTCAAACAGCTTAAGGACCATCTCGGTTAGTTCTATCAAACTGCTGAATAGTTTTAGAACGTACTTCATTGTATTCTAATTTACAAGTGGTTTTAATATCTATTTTATTTTACTCCTCTCAAATAATTATCCTATTGAGTAAATGGCATATGTTCACACAACACAGTTGTTGTGGTGGTGTTTTTTCTAGAATTCACCGTAGTCTGCTTCAGACAACATTTTTACAGTTTCATTGACTTCTTCATCTTCCAGTTTTGTAAAAAACCCACATCAGCATGAATTTGTCATGTAAAGACACCATCAATCACCAGTAACTAAAGTGAGGGTATGAACTGATCCTCCTAATACCCTTCCCCTTCCCCAACAAGGCTTGCTATCTAGGAAAGCATTTAAGTATATTCCTACACAGGAATTATTTTCCTGAATCAAGGTCTTTGTAAAGTAATCATAGGGAAAAGCTGGACAAGTGTAGGAAGAGCTCCCTCTTTTGTTTGGCAATCAACCTCAGTAAGAACTTTTTCCACCTATTTCTTCAGTTAACTACAAATAATATTAAATGCTGAGGCTGAAAATAAAATAAAAAACAACAGTAGAATATTTACCATGTATCCTTCTGCTCTGCTTGTTGAACTGGTAGCCTCCCAATCTTCTTTCCATTTCCTGTTCTTCTTTACCGTTAACTTTGTCCTGAAGTCCAATATTAGTATGTTCTGAGGGATTCCACATGTCTTAAAACAGAGCTTCCATTACAAAAATTAAAACAATTTCCACATGGTTCCACTTTAGCTCATCTGCAAAGCATCTAGGATTTAAATATAAAATTAATTAAATAAATTACAATTTAAAAAAAAAAAAAACAACACAAAACCAAACAGGATGTTTAGCAAGCAAGTTCATTTTGGTCTTTTCAGCAAATCAATATTGGGCTTTTAGTGTTTAATAGATATACTTTCACTTTGCCCTTTTTTGCAACCCTGTCTTGCACATTCCATGATGTCACCTGAAGCTGAATCACTCACACGCGTAAAGGTCACTGGATCAGCTTCCTCCATGTTGAACATCATCATAAAATTAGGATAACATTTTAACGCTTCAAGTATATATTCCCTATCGCATTCTTCTGGCTTCTAGACGAGCGCGCTTTCCAAAAGGTCGTGTTTCTTCTAGCGGTATTGATACAAGTTCTCCCCCAGACTGCACGGAAGGAGAGCAGTATGTGGTTTTGGGGATGCTCCTCTCCCAGGCCGCGTTCGCCCTGAGCCACCACTCTAACCCAGCGCGGCACCACGAGGCCTGTCTGCCCTTCCACTCGGCCCCACGGCCAGCGGGAAAATCAGCCTTTCTGCCTTTCCTCCAAAACGCGACTGCTGCCTCTTCCACATTCAGCAACGCCAAGTTCACCACTTCTAACACAGCCGTCACACAAAGGCTTTCCAAATCAAAAATCCCTGGGGTTTCGTGTTGTCCGACAGCACGGGTGCCCGGCTGGCAGCCGCCTGCTCTCCCGGCCTGTACCAGGAGGGGTTGGAAAGGTCCCCCGAGTGGAACAAGGGGCACCGTGCCCCGCTAGGGACTGCGGCGTCTCCGCTGCCGAAACAGCCCGTGTTGTACCGGGGCAGGTGCGAGGCCGCCTTGTGCAACGCCTCCTCCTGCCGCCCGCGGGTGGGGGCGGAGGGCTCTGCCCGGCTTTCCCCCCTCAGCGCCATGGCCGATTCGGCTCTCTCTAACCCGCCCCGCTCCCTCGCTCTGACCAGCGGCCGCCGGCAGCAGCCCCGGACGAGGCGGTGTGCC